TAATCATTCATATATTAAGGGTCCCTTATTTTCTTGTGTCCTAGTCAATGTAATGGTTCCTATCTTTTACTTGTGTCCTCGACTCCTCGTCAATGCAAGGAATGGTTAATTACCTTCCTGGTCATGAAGAAGTTAAAAACAAAAAATTGTGTGACAGTAGAAGAACTAGGAAATCAGAAACAAACTCCATTCACGGGAACTTTCCAAAGCATATTTCGAAGCAGTCGTACTGCGAATTTTTTTCTAATAACGAAAGAAAGCAAATTCGAACTTGGGACATCTATTAACACAGTAAAAGAGTTATGGTTAAACCACTTGATATCAACGTTTTATTCATATTACTTAGATTCCAAGCAAATCAAGATCAATTTCCTAGTAACATCTATATACATGCATACCTCTTTGGTCCACCTTGCACTTACGTACATAAATTTTAGTCCCTACTTTGAATCGTTCATTTGGAATTTAAATTGTTTCATAGACAAGTAGCACTGCCTCATGCATGCTATTTGGACTACTATTTTAGGAAGACTAAGACAAACTTACATTCCTTATCAGCTTGACCATGATTAAGTATATGGGAATTAATTTTGGTCTAAACTGTTGAAAGTTCAGAAAAGAATGGCCTTTGAATTGTTCCTAGCCAAGTTCTTGCAGGTAGAGAAATCTTGACATTAGATTAATTCCTCACTCTGGATTGATGGAATGGGATTACGAGTTTATGTTTGACCGTCCTAGATCGTTTCTTCAAATATGACCGATGAAATTACTTTCCGAAATTTAGGGCTCGGTTCCTGGTTGTATTCTTCTCTTAGCCCGGACTGAGCTCATGTATCTTACAGTTTCAGTTTAACTGACTTGTCAAGACAGCATCCATGACTCCATTGTGGTGAAATTTACATAGTATCTAAAGAGTTATTATTTTTTTTTCTTTTCATTCTCCTTTTTTCGTTTCGTTATGAAAGCATAGAAATAAGAGGGAGGAGTGAAAATGAATGAAATGGGAGTGTGAACATCATCTGCCAAAGCAAAGTATAATTCTTGATTGGCTTTGCGTTCTCACATCATCAACGGGAGTGCTAAAGGGCTACTTTAGCTGCATCAATATTTATTCTGGAGTTAGATTATGAAATGAATTTTTCGGATTCTGCCATGGGTAGGGGTAGGATTTTCAGAGGACATGAAACTGAAGCAAAAAAACAAATATATATAGACTTCATTGTGTTTACAAATTTTCTTACATATAGTGGTACACTGATTGTTGAAATATCCCATATCGACCGTATCAATGAAAAAAGAAAAGTTTAAATACCCTAATCTCATTCCAAATAATACTAAGGCATTTTGTGATAATATCGGTGTTGTTAGAAGTGAGCCGTACGACCCGTCTCTCTGATAATTCCACACAAATCATGGGGACATGGTGGTGAAGAAAATGATTGAAGCCCTCTGCTGGTTCTTGAGAATCAGACCTTTCAAGTAACAATTCTGGGGAATGTTCTAAGTACAGCACTATCTACTTTGAATCGTAAAGCAATACACGATGCAGAACTTTAGCGACTTTGACTGATGATTATTCTTTTTCACAAAGCTATGTTACAAGTTTCGCTGTTTTAGAAAAAAACTATGTCACAAGTTTACAATGTTTATTCTATGGTATTGAAAATAAAAATACTGAGCCAACAGTTCGAAAAGTAGAAAGGAACTCCTTGTTGGGGTTTAAAAATGCTTCACTACTTTGGAGATATTTATCTCACAAAGAAAAATGTAACGCAGCGGAATTGATAGGCAAGAGAAAGAAAGAATTCTCAAAGTATTACACAAGGTTTTATTCACTCACAAACTTAGTACAAAAGGAAACACTCAAACACTCTTAGAAGCTTTGTTGCTTCTTCTTATTTCTTACTTGACACTCTCACTTCTTGCTACTTGCTATCTTGGTTGTTACAAATGGTGTGGATGCCTTCTCCTTTTATAGGCATGGATGGAACCTTGGAGAAGCATGAAAACATCATGCTAGAGATATTTAGATAATTCCATTACCTTCCTAAGCTAGAATTATCTACACTAATCTTGTATATTGGTGGAATCCTCACCATTCTTCTAGACTCTTCCACCAACTTGAACTTTGCTAGAATTCTCTAGCATGTGCATGGATCTTTCTTTGTGTATGGGCCGGATCAATTATCTTTGGGCCAAGACAAGATTACAATTCAACATCCCCCCTTAATCTTGTCTTGTGACGCCAATTGAGTTTCTTAGTCTGACAAAGTCTTCTTGTTTGAGTGGCTTGGTGAATATGTCGGCAACTTGGTCTTGAGACTTCACGTATTCCACTTGCACATCCTTTCTTGCAATGCACTCTCTTAAGAAATGATAACGGGTATCTATGTGTTTGCTCCTGTCATGGAATACTGGATTCTTTGCTAGAGCTATTGCAGACTTGTTGTCGACATAGATCTTTGTTGGCTCTTCTTGTCGCATTCTTAATTCTTTCAGCAAGTTTCTCAGCCAGATTGCATGGCAGACACATGAAGTAGCAGCTACATATTCAGCTTCGCAGGTAGAGAGAGTGACAATCGGTTGCTTCTTTGACATCCATGTGAATGCAGTGTCTCCCATGAAGAACACAAATCCAGTAGTGCTTTTTCTATCGTCGGAATCTCCTGCCCAATCACTGTCGCTATATCCAACAAGTTTGTAGTTATCAGAACTTGAATAAAACAAGCCAAAGTTAACAGTACCTTTGAGGTATCGAAGAATTCTTTTGGCTGTTTTCAAATGTGTAGTTGTGGGATTCTCCATGTGGCGACTGATTAATCCGACAGCATAGAGAATATCTGGTCTTGTGCAAGTCAAGTAGCGCAAGCTTCCAACTAGGCTTTTGAAAAATGTTGGATCTACGCTTTCTCCTTTGTCATACTTGGTTAGTTTGACTCCGCACTCCATTGGCGTGCTCACGGGCTTGCAGTCGTCCATTTTGAACTTTTTCAGTATCTCCTTTGTGTAGCTTTCTTGGGAGATGAAAATTCCTTCTTCGTTCTGCTTGACTTCAATGCCTAGGTAATATGCCATCAACCCGATGTCGGTCATCTCAAATTCTTTGGTCATCACTCTCTTGAACTCTTCAAACATGCTTGGATTACTCCTGGTGAAGATTAGATCATCCACATATAAGCACACAATCAAAATATCTCCATCTTTGACTTTGACGTAGAGAGTATGTTCATGAGGGCACTTGATGAAGTTGTTTTCCTGAAAGTACTTGTCGATGCGACTATTCCATGCTCGTGGCGCTTGTTTTAACCCATAGAGGGCTTTCTTCAGCTTCAGAACTTTGTCTTCATGCCCTTTGATCTCATAGCCTGACGGTTGCTGAATGTAGACTTCTTCTTCAAGGACTCTATTTAGGAAGGCGGACTTCACATCCATTTGTTGAATCTTCCAACTGTTTTGAGCTGCCAAAGAAATTAGTAATCGTATAGTTTCCAACCGAGCAACGGGTGCGAATACCTCATCATAGTCGATTCCGGCTCTTTGACTATAGCCTTTCGCCACTAGTCTTGCCTTGTATCTTTCGACCTCTCCATTGGCATTTTTCTTTGTCTTGTACACCCACTTGACTCCGATGGCTTTGTGTCCTTTTGGAAGAATAGTGAGTTCCCATGTATCATTATTCTGGATTGCTTCAATTTCTTCATCCATTGCTTTCCTCCACTTAGTATCTTGCACTGCTTCTTGGAAGTCGACTGGTTCACAATCAGCAAAAAGACAGAAAAGTGTAGGATTATCAAGTCTTTCAACTACCTCATAAAGATCTCGTATACTTCTTGTGCGTGGTACTTCTCTTTCATTTAGACTTCCACTTGACAATGCTGATGTTGATGAATTACCATGATTGGTTGATGTTGGTGAAGTAGGTGGAGTAGTGGATTCTTGTTGAACCTCTCTTGCTTGCTCCATCATCCCTTGTTCATTATCGTCTTCAAATTGAGGAAAGAAGTGAAGATCACCTGCATGCGGGCCAAAATCCCATTCTTCTTCTTCATCGAACATCACGTCTCGACTGATCACCGTCTTCCCATTGTTTGGATTATACAGCTTATAGCCTTTTGAATTGGTGTCATTGCCGATGAAGATGAACTTCTCACTTTTGTCGTCGAGTTTGGTTCTCCTCTCGTCTGGTACGTGTACATGGGCTATGCTTCCAAAAACTCTTAGATGAGAAATACCTGGTTTTCTTCCACTCCATGCTTCTTGCGGAGTTTTTCCCCACACACTCCTTGTTGGAGACCGATTGGATAGGTAGACAGCACATGCTACAGCTTCTGCCCACAATTCCTTAGGTAATTTCTTGCTTTTGAGCATGCTTCGAGCCATGTCGAGGATGGTTCGATTTTTTCTTTCTGCCACTCCATTTTGTTGAGGGGATCTTGGAACTGGCAAAGGTCGACGAATTCCATTTGCTTCACAAAACTCTTGACATTCCTTCAAAGTGAATTCTCCTCCTCGATCAGATCTCATGGCTTTGATCTTGCAACCACTCTCATTTTCTACAGTGGCTTTGAACTTCTTGAATGCTCCAAAGACTTCTGATTTTTGCTTCAAGAAATACACCCAGGTTTTTCTTGAAAAATCATCAATGAAGAGAAGGAAATAATTATTTTTACCCAAAGAGCTTGGTTTTATTGGACCGCACACATCGGTGTGAATGAGCTCGAGTGGCTTCTGGGCTCTTGTGGTCGACTCCTTTGGAAAGCTTTTCCTGAACTGTTTCCCAAGTAAACATCCTTCGCAAACTTGATCAGGGTGGCTGATACACGGTAAGCCTCTCACCATCTCCTTCTTGGATAATAACTCCAATCCCCCAAAGTTAAGATGCCCAAAACGAAGATGCCAAAGCCAAGATATGTCTTTGTAACATATCTTAAGACACTTTGCAACATCGTTTTGAATGTTCATGGGAAACATCCTATTCTTTGACATTTTCGCCTTGGCAATTAATCTTCCTTTGTCATCTCTAAGAAAAAAGATATAATTTTTCGTATGAAAATCATAACCTTTTTCTAAGAGTTGACCCAAACTCAAAATGTTGCTTTTCATATTGGGCACGTAGTAGACATTTGAAATTAATTGGTGACCGCCATTTTCCAAGGGAATAAGGATGTTACCTTTTCCTTTTACGGGTATTTTGGATTCATCTCCAAAAGAAACGTTGCCACTCACTGATTCATTGAGCTCTACGAAGATGCTTCTTCTTCCGCACATGTGGTTGGTGGCGCCGGTGTCAAGGTACCACGTATAGTCTTGGTCTCCATCATTGTTCTTGCATGCTAGTAGCACAACACCATTCTCTTCTTTCTCTTCTTTCACATAATTGACCTTCTCATCAAGTCTGCTGTTTGGAGCTCTACATTCCCAAGCATAATGCCCAAACTTTTGACAATTATAGCATTGAACTTGAGATTTTTCATACCTTGAGTTTGAGCGTCCTCTTCCGCGACCTTTTGTTGAGCTTTCTCCTCTTTCGTAGTTGCTATGGTTGTTTAAGTTCCAACCACATCCACGTCCGCGACCTCGACCACGACTTCTTCCGTATCGGCTTCTCTCGTTGTCGAAGCTTTCTTCTTTCTTCTTTGGCTGAACATGCGTCTTAAGGAGCTGCTCATCATTCCCTTGCCTCTTCTTATGTTTCTCTTCATATGCTTGTAGTGAACCCATTAATTGCTCTATACTAATTTCTTCCAAGTTTTTAGTTTCTTCAATCGTCACGACAATGTGCTCGAACTTGGGGTCCAACGAGCGTAGTATCTTCTCCATAATTCTAACATCTTCTAACTTTTCTCCGTTTCTTTTTAATTGATTGGAAACGGCTAAGACTCTTGAGAAATAATCAGAGATTGATTCAGACTCTTTCATTTGTAGAGATTCGAACTCACCTCTTAATACTTGAAGACGAACCTTTTTCACTTGTTCGGCTCCTTTGTAAGAGGTTTGAAGCTTCTCCCATGCTTGCTTGGCAGAGGTTGCACTCGAGACCTTCTCAAAGCCATTGTCATCTAATGCTTGGTAGATGAGGTAGAGAGCCTTCTTGTCTCTCTTTCTTGAATCTTTCAAACTCTCCTTCTGGGGTTGAGACAGAGTAGCTTCATCTTCTGGCTCAGTGTAGCCTTTCTCCACGACTTCCCAGACATCGTGTGCACCCAAAAGGGCCTTCATTTTGATACTCCAATTATCGAAGTTGTTGCTATCGAGCACTGGAACTTGGAAGGCTGCCATAGCATTGCTAGCCATAGCTCTGGTACCACTTTGTTGGGGTTTAAAAATGCTTCACTACTTTGGAGATGTTTATCTCACAAAGAAAAATGTAACGCAGCGGAATTGATAGGCAAGAGAAAGAAAGAATTCTCAAAGTATTACACAAGGTTTTATTCACTCACAAACTTAGTACAAAAGGAAACACTCAAACACTCTTAGAAGCTGTGTTGCTTCTTCTTATTTCTTACTTGACACTCTCACTTCTTGCTACTTGCTATCTTGGTTGTTACAAATGGTGTGGATGCCTTCTCCTTTTATAGGCATGGATGGAACCTTGGAGAAGCATGAAAACATCATGCTAGAGATATCTAGATAATTCCATTACCTTCCTAAGCTAGAATTATCTACACTAATCTTGTATATTGGTGGAATCCTCACCATTCTTCTAGACTCTTCCACCAACTTGAACTTTGCTAGAATTCTCTAGCATGTGCATGGATCTTTCTTTGTGTATGGGCCGGATCAATTATCTTTGGGCCAAGACAAGATTACAATTCAACACTCTAGCTACACGGTAACGTGTTACAGGATTAGAGAGTCGGCCAATCCTATGTTTTCTATGCAGTGGTTTTGCATCTGCAAATGCGCTTCCCCTTGTACATAATGGTTAAAACTGCACTCTTTTATATGCAAACTTGAATGCAATCCTATTAGAAGTGGAAAATATTTTCGGTTATCTAATTTTGTTGCCAATGGTGTCAATGTCTAGACTTGAGCTTGCACGGCAGATGCATTTGAAGGATATGCATGGCTTTCTTCATTAATATCGCTGTCTCTTCTTGAGAACCTCCTGTTTGGACCTCCCCATTGTTTCATTACATCCAATATGAACTTCCAGTTGGTTTTGTGTTCAAGCATTGATTTACAAATGCGAAAACTGTAAACCACAAGAGCAATTGTCGATGTTCCTCCTGTGAGTATGAATAGTACCCAAAAGCTTTTGGGGCTTAGACTAGGATTATCAACAGCACCATCTGTTTCTGCATCCACGCACTTTAGAGACGCCAGCATGCTGTTCTCTAAAATCCGAAGTTCACCACTTTCGGTTACCTTTAGCATTGCTTCTGTTACACTAGGAAGCAACAGAGATCCTTTTGGAAATACCTGTAGCATAAAAGCTTAGTTTATATATAGTTTAACTTAAGTGCAGAAGATTAACTTGGTGAGAAGCTAGAGAATTACAAATCCAAATCCTCCAACTTTGTAAGTCGGTCCAACTGCCATAAAGGCTTTGCAGTATTTTCCAAGGAATATTTTTGCCAAAGGGGCTTCAAGAAAGGCAGCAGCAATTACTTTACTTCTGAGGGCTAAGGCATATTCTTCTGAGGAGTTACACTGCATAATATTGTTGGGGTGGAAGCCCAAGACTTCCCTTAAATAGGCTGAAACAAAGGATCCCCTACCATGACCAACCATGGCGTTGGTTCGCAGCAGCGCATCCACATCTGTTACAGTAGGTTCAAGCTGCTGGACAGTGAGCATGCTGGCAAAGTTAGCCGTGTATGTCTGCGTGATGATTAGTGCCATAAATAGCCAGACCACCGTTGTCATCCTAGACAAATTGCTATGCAGCTTATCTCCTTTGCTCAGTCAAAACAAATAGAAGTTGTATTTAGACAAGTTTTAGAAAAAATAGAGAAGAAGAAAATGAAATTGAACATCAATGTGGGTTACGAAATTACCGTGCAAGGAGAAGAGAGTGGTGAAGGATAGCCAAATCAAGCTTCCTATTTGATTTAGCACAGAACCTTTGAGTTCAGGACAATAGTTTCGCTCTATCAGCCACACGACAAAGCCATTGTAGACATTGATCGCTCCTATCAGTGCCCACATTGCTTTTGTGAAAGGTCTCATAAATAACCATGCTTTGCTACATGTTATGGACCTGACTGGAACTATCATTACCAATCCTGATTCGGTGTAGGGATGTGTGAATTCTGCGTGCTTATATCTGTGGGACACTATTGACACATCACCAACTACAGCATCAAATTTCTGCAAGTCAAATTTGATTGATCTTTAATTATTCCATGAAATATAAAATAATGGCATATGCAATTTGGACTAATTAATCAACTGAAGAGACTGGAAAGTAAATATCTTACATGCAAATGGATTTGCTCCACTAAAGAATCGTATGTTCCTTCGAAAGGAAAGAACTCGTAGGGCAAAGGGTAAGGCAGCTCCTTTAGGGTTGCCTTGAAGAGATCTATTGCAAGTCCACTGAAAGATAAGTTATGTCCCAATGGATCTTTCTTCACATTTACGTACTGTTTAAATGTTGATCCTGTCGGCACGCCAATTCTCAGCACGTTTGCGTTTGTTGTTGGTTCAGTCCACCCTTTTGGAGTCAACCAAGGCCCCCCTGGCCAAAACACTTGCCCCAAATATTTCATAGAAGATCTGTTAGTAGCACGTTCACCTAGAGTCAGTGAGAATCCTAATCCATCTGACCAGTATCCAACTTCTCTGTAACTCTTTCCATTCACATTGATGATTTGAAATACATGTTGTGGAGCTAATTTTTGGTCACTGAACTTAATTCTTCCATTTAAGCCATGAAAATCGCTTTGCAAAAGTTTTGCTGACAAGTTCCTCCCTTTCCTGCTTTCTGTCACAGCTAAAGCCACTGCCCTTGCAGCATCATAAGCCTGTGCTGCAAAGATTCCTGGTTCATTGTTACCCTCTTCAGGGTGTTCCGAGCTAAACCTTTTACGAAACTTATGATCAAAGTCCTTAGATTGTTTCCCGCTTTCGGGGAGGTAGCTCTTGAGTCCGATGATCCCTTGCATTGTTGAGATGGTGGAGGCATTAAAGGAGTGGACAAGGCTTGTAATAGGATCAGTGGTGATCCATACATAATCCTTTTCCATCATCTCCATTTCTTTTGCCTTCCGGAATAGTTGCACTGCCAATGGCGCAGACAAATGTACAACAAAGACTCTACACTGGTCTCTTCGGATTTTCTCAAGCTCTTCAATTAATGAAGAAGAAGCAAAAGGAGGGAGAGCTACAAGGTGCCTAATTTCTGCACCAACTTGTCTCAAGGCATCAGAGAGATGAGGTAAGACTTCATTGGCTGAAGAATCTCTATCTTGGTAAATTACAGTGACTTGATGCCATTCCCAAGACTGAACTATAGCGGCAATTGCTTCCATTTGTTTCAACCGGTTACGAGAAGCTTGAACCAGAAAGGGCCACAGCTCAGTTGCCCACATTGGATTAGCCTCAGCAAGGGAAACAATTGCGGTATGAGTCTCACTGCCAACCTTAGCTACTAATGATGTCTCTTCCCATGTATGAGGTCCTATAATAGCTTGCACTTTTTGCTCATCTATAAGAAATTTAGCTGCAGATTGATAAATGTTATGGCATTAGAAGTGTTGTATTACGAATTGAGGAATTGTCGCACATCAAGTTTAGACAGTTAAGCTATATATTATGTACATGTACAATGTGAAGAATTTTTAGGGTTTATGGTAATTGACTAATTGGTAATAGTTTAAGTGATCCAACTTCTTATATGCCTTTGTAACTTTTCGATATGGGAAAACTCTTGACAATGTGAAGAATTGTCGCACATTAGGTTTAGATAATTAAGTTATATATGCACACGTACAATGAAAGGATGTGAAGAATTGTTTAGGGTTTATGGTTTATGGATTAGGCCACAATTCAACCAATCTTCAACTTTTTGAGGAAACTTACCGTTTTTTTTTGCGTAATTTTTAAACCATTTGGTTTAAACTTTAAGCTTATATTAACCATATAAAGCTTAATAAGGAAGTATACATATATAGCAAAGGCTTGCAAATTAAGTGGTCAACGACCTCTATATCCAATGTTTTAGGTTCTATTTCCCCTCCCAATATCACCTTTACAAATAAAGAAAGAAAATAAGCAAGGGTAAAAAGCTAAGGATCTGTTTAGTACTCTACTTGAATCCAACTTTTTAAATTCAAAAACAATTTTTCAAATTTTAGGTCTTAAAAACTTGTTTGGTGGACTATTTTAAAAAACTAAATTCAAGACTAACTAAAAAATATAGTCTATTATCTAAAAACATAAAAAGTGAGTTTTTAGAATTTTTAAACTTAACTCACTCCTTTTCTCTCCCTCCTCTCCTCTCACTCCAAATCCATTGCTCTCTCTCCTCTTTTTTATTTTATTTTATTTTTATCTTTTTCGTCTCTCCTTCAATCCGCTCTGTTTATTCTCTCGGTTCTTTCTCTCACTCCTCTTCCTCTCTATCTCGTCCGATCCACTCTCTTCTTTCTATTTCCTTCAATCATCTCTTACTTTCTTTCCTCCTCTCTCCTTTTTCTCCCTCTCCTGCGACCCACTCTTTTTAGATCTCTTTGTCTACTTTAAGTCGTAAGATTTAAAATTTTTAAATTGCAAACCAATCAAGTTTTTGAGTATTAAAGAAAATTGTTTTCAAGAAATGTTTTGAGAAATTATGAAAATTTTTAAATAGGATACCAAACAGGCTCTAATTACCTGCAAGTGCTGCCTGCAAGGGCTCCCTCTGAGAGTTTCTTACGTGCAGAACCAATCTCTGATTCCCAGTGGAATCAAAATGATCATCCAATGCCATTTGAATTGCCACTCTCTCTTCTTTTCCAATCCGAGAACTGTTGTCGATAATAGCACCTAGTCCCATTCCGGGTTCGTTCTCTATTGTATTGGCATTTCCAAATGTTGTAATTCCTTCCCTAACTGAAACTGTGATCAAGAAATAAAAAAGAAGAGCAAACTTAGACATTTTTTTTAAGAATGGCTTTTAGAGCTCTCTTCCTATTTATATTGACAAGACTGCTGCGGTATATACTTTTTACTCAGTCAACATTAATAAATTCCCTGCTTTTTTCTTGGGTCATATAGTCAACATTAGGAATCAATCAATACTTTGGTTTTTTTTCCTTGCATGCATGCACATATACAGTATTTCTGCAGTATGGTGCAAGGAATCAATTCAACTCCATCTTGGCCAAAATTACATCTAGAATGCGGCTTAAAATTTAAATTTTTTTTCTTTTTAATATCTTTGTGAAACTTCCAATATCTGATATATATCACTCCCTAATGAAGGTTAACTTGACAGAACTATAGGCTAAATCAGTAGAGTACTTCAACAAGACGACATATGTGTATATATAGACACACACGTGGTGTAAATTAATGTTTTCATGTCGTCTTGCAGCAAAATTTGAATTCTTAACATTGATTAGGTCTATTTTTTGTCCGAATGTGTCTTTTAGGTGTCATGTCAACTCTTGTAAATCTATACTTGCTGTAGTTTCCATGCATGTACAAGTACAACCTCAAAGAAACTTACTTAGCAAATATAATTGATGCTCTAATATTCTCTAATATGATATAATTGGAATTGGTAAAGTGAAAATGACCATTTGAATTTCCTAGTAATAACCCCCTTGTAGGTTTCAATATTCATGCAATTGTCCAAATTAAAGACTAAAAATGTTATACTTTGAATTTTCATCATTTGGAGCCCAAGTATAAGGTCATCAAATTCTACACATAGAGATACAAGGTGAACTAATCCAACTATAGTTTACTCATTTATTTCTTGTTGTTACCTTTTAGTTTTACTGATTTTCATGTAGGTAGGTTGGATTGCTATGTAACAATCCGTCCCTAATTTTATTGTATGTTACTTTCTTAAAGTTGTGAAATTACGAAAATGCTCTTGGAATAGCTAAGTGGCAATTGTACGTGGATGTTTGAGCTCATTTCATACTTTGTCTCCTTTCTTGCCATATCTTGTAGTACTAATCACTACGTGTACATCCCGGCCCTGAGTGCAAATGGGATGTAAAACGGACCACCGTTTTCATCTCGACTCTCTGATCACCACCATATTCGCTGTTTTGTGAGATTCATGGTGGAGAAGCTTGAACACGAGAGCTTAGAAACGGACAAGCATTTTCGACGAGATTCTCATTGTTACCGGTGAAGGTAAGTCTTCTAACCACCACAAATCGTTCTAGCTTGTTCAGTAGATAAAGATTCATGTATGGTTTGTGTTGATTGGCTTCCTTTCGAAGAAAATTTAAGAAAAATGGTTTTTCTGCAATTCCAACAAGTTGCAGAGCAACGACGAGTCTTTTTCGGACCAAATCTCATTGGGTTGCACGAGATTGAGGTCATCAACCCACTCTTCATCACTCCTATGGTCAGGTTCGAGCATTTCGTGCTCGTATCTACACAAATTCGAAGAGGTCCACCACCTTATTTTCGAGCAGGACTTCTTAGGATTCTACGCCCTCAAATTAGTCTAGGTTGTGAATTTTGGTTGAGTTTTGGAACTATGGTTTCTGGAAAATTTTCGGCCAAAAAACCTAGATTCTGATGAAGTTTCGGCCGACGGACGACAACGAGCGGCGACTCCGGCGATCTGCGTGAGGTAGGAGACGACCAAATATTTGTAACGGTAAATATTCTCTAACGACGTTTGCACATTCCGTTAACTGAAGGTATATTTCTTCCCTGAATATTGTTTTATGCCAACTGCATATTTTGTAACGGTGATTGAATATTCCACGGTCGGTGCGTGCAGCCGCGTGACAGTTACCAGCCGGCGTGTGAACCTTGTTTTAAGTACTTCCAATCCCTGTTTTGAGCAAATAAAAGGAATTTCAGAGTCTTTTTCTCAGTATTTATGATATGTCCCGATCCCGATATTCCCCGAATAGCAGGATAGGTACGTGCTGGCCAGCACCTGAGGGTAACAAAAGTCATTTATTGAGTGCAAAAGCTAAAAACAAGGGATAGATAAGACTTATAAATATAAAAAATAAAGAATATGCATTTAAAGAACGTGTTCAGAGCACACATATAATCTAAAACACTAAAAGAAATAATATAAAATTGAATGAATAAAAGGATGGGTCCTAGCTACATCGAGAGGACTCGAAGATGCCGATGCGGAAGTGCCTTGACGTCGGGATTGTATGTCTCGATTCTAAATCCTGAAAGGGGCGCAAAACAAACATGAGTGAACCAAGTTGATATATATATATATATATATAAAATAAAATAATTATCAACGTACTAACCCCCAGATTTTATGAAAACACATATATCATGATAAATATAGGTTTTCTGAAACCTAGCATGCCGTGCAAAGTCTCAAATCATAACTCATATATATAGTAATCACTAGTGAATGTCCAATATCCCTCCAGACCCCATGCCAGCTCCCCGTTTATGTGTGAACAGCCAGAGGAAAATATCCCTTTAGGCCCTATGCCAGCTCCTTGTCCATGTGCTAATAGCCAGAGGAAAACCACTTCAAGCCCTATGCCAACACCATAACCATCGTCCGGGATGGACTGAAATCTATCCCTCGTCTAGAAGCAGAATTGGGACCACTAGGTAAGTACAAAACCATTGAACATGTATATATTGAAAAGCAATTGAGTGATTCAAATATTATATCGTCATCCATCAAATATTCTATAAGAACACGGGTTATAGGAAAAATAATAATAATTCAAGTTAGCCTCGATAAGCATGTTATATCATAAAACGTAGTCATTAAATCATGTGTTTCATGTATGCATTTCTACTATCAAAACATGCATTTTAGAAGGTCCACTCACAGATACTTCGCTACTAAAGAGCCACGCAAACTAGCGAAGACGGAAACGCCACAAAAATTGCGCATAAGCACATAAAGGGTCCAATTAATAAAACTATATTAAAACAATTGAATTTGGGAAAACGGATGTTAGAAACGGATTCAGGACGTCGAATTGCCCTAAGAAGGATTTTAGTTAAATTTCGTAACAGTCAATAGAATATTCCTAAAATATTCCCTGACGGAATATTCCCTAACAGAATATTCCTCATACAGGATTTGGGCCGGTTAGGGTTAAAGGTTTTGGCCTCTAAGGGCTTTTGGGGTTTGATAATTAAAAAGGGTTTGGGTTCTGGGTAAATGGGTTAAGGGGTTTAGGCCTAAAGGGTTTAGGGTTTCTAGGCTAATGGGTTAAGGAATTGGGTTGATAAAAGGGCCTGGGGTAATTAATTGGGTTTGGGTTTGAAAGGGTCACGGGTTGGGCTGGAGGCCCATGGGTTTTTGGCTAGTTTCAAAGGACTTGGGTCGGGTTGACCCGTTTTCAGGCCAATGAATTGGTCGGTTTCTGGGCACCACTTCGAACGCCCATAACTTCTTCGTTACTCAACGAAATCAAGTAAAAAAACAATGAAAGTTGTAGTAATTGACGAGATAAAGAGATTGATACTGCATGCCGGCCAAATCGCCATGGTTTGGTCGGAAAACGCCTCAAAAGGGGCGGTGCTCGTCGGAAAACTGGGTTTTTGGCCGAAGGTTTGAGGAGTTTTCAAAGCTTTGTAACTTCTTTGTTTCTTAACCAATTGAGTGATTCAAAAGCCAAAATGTAGTTAGGAATGTGGAAAATAAATTCAAAGTGGGGAACGAGTGGTGGCCGTAGTTGGCCGGAAAATGGCCTAAAAGATGGCCAAACGACCACGGTTTAACGTCGGAAAAACTACAGAGGTCCTCCCGAGGTGTTTCTGCGTCTTACAGCTATCAAAGCTACTCAATTTCATCCCATAATTCTATGTAAATACTAACCAAGGGATTCTAGGGCTTACCTACGTTTGAGGGACGAGGAAATCTCGTCGGAGGAATTTTGTACAGTGGCAGTAACCACGTGGAGGTTGAGATGATCCTCCCTCGATCCTAGCTTCCTGGAACACGTAGAGAAAGGAAGGATGGAGGTGATGATTGCTGCTCGTGTGTATATATGGGTTCGACGGTGAGGAGATAGCACAGAGAGAGGAAGCACAGGGAAAGAAAGAGAGAAGAGAGAAAAGTGAGGGAGAGAATCAGGAAGGAAGGAGATAGAAGAGAGAAAAAGTGGGGAAGAAGTGCCACGTGGCAGAAAAAGAAAAGAGGAGCCGGGGGACAAAGTTCATGGGTGGGCTCCTTGGGCTCACCATTTAAGAACCAAAAAACCAATTTTAAAAGAAAAAGATGTAGCTCAAGGTGAAATTTCACGAAAATACCCCTTTGTTCTGATAAAATCGGGATGGATTGTTACAATTTACAAGTTTTGAGTAATGTAATGATTAGTATAGTGGTTTCACATTTAGGAGAGACGTATTCTGAAGAGATTAGAGATCAAGCAAAACAAGACGTTTATGACCCGACGACGTATTAGTGAGTATGCTTTGTTTTCAAACTATATTATATAGTTATAGTTTCCATAATGGCTTTTATATCATGTCGTGCTTTTATTTATAAATATAAGTGCTAATGATGATATTGAGATTTATGAAATTATGATGGCATGATTCTACATATTTGAACTGCTCATCATGCATAAGTGCACTGATGTCTATAGTACTCGTCCGGGCCAGGACCAATTTCCCGTGTATCTTCACATTAAACCATTATGCTCACATTGGATCTATTATAGGTAACATGTACTCGTTGCTTTTGCATCTAGGATTCATATATGACGCGCCTACCGCTATCTTCATGCGTATGTAGTACTCGAACTTATATTATTACACCCAACTTATTCATGTAGCTACTTTCTACATAGACTTGTGTGTCTACATTTTTTTATGAGCACATTGTGTTACATTTATTGTGTTATCCATGATTCACCCGTATCCTTAGCATAGCTGCTTTTATACATTTCACTTGGGTTTTTCATACTTATTTGTAGTATGATTTTGAAAACTATACGAGTTTTACACTGAGGGATC